CGCGGCCCTTGACCATGCGTGCGCTCGTGAAGAGGCCGTCGGGCATCGCGTGGCGCAGGGCGTGCAGCTGGGGGACAGCCTCGATGGTGCGGAGCGCGTCCTGCGTCTGGCTCGACGTGTACGCCACTGGGGGGGCGCGGGTGAGTCGCGGGGAAGAGGGCGGCGAGCGGAGCGCACGGACGCACCCATGTGCCACTTGCGCCGGCCTGCGGCGAGATGGACGAATGCGGAGTACGTCTGCTTGACGAGCCGCGTGCCGAGTCTGCCGCGGGCGCCGTTGCAGGGCGGGGCGGGGAGGGGAGAGGAGGGGAGAGGAAACGTGGACGAGGGATCAGGACGGGGCGCGTGCGAAGAGGGCGAGGATTTACGTACATGATCTCTGCCAGTGCGGGGTCTGCATCAAACTCCGGGAGCTTTTCGAGGTAGAACAGAAATTCCTGCGGGCGGTCAGGGTCCTTGCGCCGGTTCGGGCACTGGGCAGACTCACGTCGCGGACCCTCGAGGGGCCCCAGCGTCTGCCGTCCGTCCAGCGAGTGATGCCGACCTGATGGTCGGTGTCAGCGCAGGCGAACAAGGATGGGATTGGCACAGACGACGCACGCCGGTGGTGTCGGTGTAGGCATCACGCTCCTCCCAGATAAAGACGGAGCCGGGCAGGATCTGCTGCCGCTCGTCGGCGTTGAGCCGCTGGGTGATCATCGGGGCCAGGCCCTGGAGAACAGCGAAGAAGAGGGCGTGGGCGTCGTCGACGGTGCGCACGCAGACGCCGGTGCATGTCGGGCGCTGCATGGTGGGGATGGTGTAGGAGGAGGCGGGGGAGGCTGGAGGGCGCAGGCGACGGCTTATATGAGGCAGGACGAGTGGGCGAGGTACGCGGGGAGGGAGAAGGCGAGGGGGCGGACCGGTGCGTGCAGGGTAGGGTACATGGAACGGATGATGGTATCCGTCAGAAACGATCCATGCCCGATGAGGGAAGACGACGCCGCAGCGACGACACCACCCTATTCTTGCACCAGGCTAGTAAACGAAGAAATTGATTGCGGAACCGGCGGATGTGGTGCGGCCGAGGGGCGAAGAAGAGAAGCGGCTGTTCCTAGGCAGGGATGGAAATGAGATGTTGAACTTTGAATGCAGGGCCAATAGGAGCCGCACCATTCCGACTCGCGCGAAGGGGAAGGGGAAGGGGAAGGGGAAGAGGGAGCTGGCGGTGTGAAGGCGAGCGTTGCCAATCGCCTATCGCAGTTCCGGGGTGGACAGTCAATTAGTGGGTAAGCGTGCTGCGAACCTGAGAAGGGCATCAATCACATACAAATTCTGATCCCAGCCCCCGTGTGAAAATCCGCAATGGATCGTTTCTGCAGCCTCCTTTCGGATCGCGCTCGCGGGGCGGGCACTCTCGACGACTCTCGGATGATCCGGTTCGAACCGTGCTCGCCGTGCGCCATCGCGACGTCTGTCGTCCGAGGCTCGTCCGAGCACAGCCAGCCAGCAAACGCACGCCGCTGCTGCTCCGAGTCCTCGTCACTTGGGAGCCTCTCCGGAGGTGGGGCAGAGGCAGATACATAGGTCCCGGGGACGACGGCGACACGAACACGACGACGCCTGCTCGCTCGCGCACGTCGCAAGCACAGTGTGCGGGAGGACGACGTAAGCGGAGGAGCCCATCTCGGGCGCAGACGACGAGGGCTCAATTATGTCGCGAAGGGAGACATTGAATGGCCAGGGTCGACACCGGTCGAAACACGATCGCGAGGTTCGGGTGAGGCTCGAGCAGACTCCATTCGTTCCGATCCCGCGACGAGAAGGACAGAGCGAGAGCCAGTACTGTGTCCGAGTACGTACATCCCTGCCCTTGCAACGCAGAGAACGCGACGGCTGTGCGTGGGACGGGCGGACGAGGCGGAGGATGCGCTGGCAGTCCCAGCCTATGGTCGCCACTCGCGGGCCCATCTGCCACTCACAGATCTGCGCCACACACCTGCCAAGTAGCGCTCGGGTTCACCCGGCGGCACCGTCCCCCCCCTCCCCCCTCTCCGCCTCTCCGCCTCTCCCCGCCATCCTCTCCGCCTCGTCCTCTCCGCCAGCACCAGCCCCGCCTCCCTCGTCCTGCCGCGTTTCCCGACCGTATAGTGACAAAGTCCGCTAGCCGTCTCGGCCTCTTTTGTCCCCACGCGCTGTCCGCACATTTCTAGCGGGCAGTCCTCTCTTCAGCCTGTGAAACATGTCCTGGCCCTTCCAGACCACAAGGCTCGCCCCCCCCCCTCCCCCCGCCGAGGAGGGACCAATGCAGAGCGTGTCAGCGGATCATTCTTAGTGCGCCCCGGGTCCCGACCGCGTCCAGGTCAATTATCTGTGGACTTGCAAATCTGCCGTAACGGCTTCCACAAGGAAAGCGGGCTCAAGTTGTGCGTTTTGGGACTAGGAGTGATCTCTCTCGCGCACCACGAGTCAATCGCACTGACAGGATCTGACTTGCACTCAGCCGGCACCCGTTTTCTACCCGATAGGCCAGGAAAATCACACTCGTCCGCTTGCCACGCACTCCCCGCAGGATTTTGGTGGCGTCTCTATCATTCCCCGACAAATCATGCCAGCGGACTAAATCAGCGGACCACCAACTATCTCCGACCCAGGTTCCAGAGCCTTACCACTCGGCCATTGTATTCGTGCGTGCGCAACGTTGTCCCATCAGTATGCACTCTGATAGTGCCAAAAATTTATTCTTCCGAGTTTATCTCAACTTCTAGTCTCCCCGCAGGCGTTCCCGGCTAGATTGTACTTGTCCGGATTCCTCAGCAATCAGCGACGCATACATCGGGCGACAGCATCTCTTTCAACCCACCCTACCGCGGTCCCATGCCCCTGGCACGTTTCGCACCCAACACCCTTCACATTATACAGTATCCTTGGACGCCTTGTGCCCGCTGCCTCGGCGGACATTGACAGGACCCTGCTATCCGGCTGCTGTCATTGTTATGGGAGGCGGTAGCACAAATTGCAGTCTTGGGCAACTACGAGCCTTGTCCTGGTCCATTGCCGATCGGTCCCGCCCCTCTCGTGCGCCGTTCCCCGAATTACAGTCCCCGCCAGCCCGCTGGCAAATTCCGGCGCCAGCGGCAGACGTCGTCGTCTATCATTACCTTGATAACCTTCTAACATTTGCGCTCTATCATCCGTTTTCCGATCGTCGGTTACGGCACCTGGCCAGCCGCCCACCCACCGGATATCGACGCCGCCATGTCCCGAGCGTGCGCCGACGGACCATGTGAAGCACCCGGGGGCGCCGGTGCACGGATCGTCACCGTGAAGTGTGTCTGGCAGGTCTCCGTCCGTATCAAGGGGCGCTGCAACAGACATCGCGGAGGATTTGTCAAGATGCATATGCCCGTTTGTCTGCCTATTCGTAATCTGTTCGTCTTGCCTCTGCGCTCGACCTGTCACACGGCACAGTTGTGGAGCCCGGGTCTTCGAATGCCGTCCGACAGCCCGTATCGCATTCAAACTCGCTGATACCCCGGGATACGCATTTTTGGAGACGCGCGAGGGCCGCACGTTTGGGGGCCACACGGCCAGGAATTTGCGTGCTTCATAGAGGAGCATTTGCAAGTCCCCCGTTCCTCGACCGGAGTTTCTGGTGCCCGCATCCTCGATCTTCGCAATTCTCTGCGACGTCACCGAGCCCCTCCCTCCTTCCCCCCCGGTGCGTCGACAGTGCCTGATGCTTCTGGACCGATGCCAGCATGACTGTGGCGCCTGCTGCTCCTCGCAAAATTTGCGCCCGTCGCGAGTCTGTGGTAAGGTGGGCTTTGGACAACGTGGAGCGTGGGGCTGTGATATCAGCGATAAGTCCGGACCCATTGGTCCACCAGCTGCTAAGTAACACAGATTCTACAAATGGCACGAGGCGCCCCTGTGGTGCCACTGAGCGCCGGCGGAAACTGCACATGCACACACACGAAATCCGGCGGTAACATGGCGTCAATGGGACAAGTTTGCAAAAACCGAAATGAATGGGGGATCCAGGTGTATTCAGGTTGCGCCAGGCCTCGTGGGCGTGCAATTCATATATCGTGATTGACTTTTACATGATTCATTTCATTCATTCACGTTTGAATTGTGTAATCGGCTTGAATAGACCGAATGGCATTTGAATGACCGATACGTTGTGCGGGGGATGCCCGATGTCCGGTAGCGACTGCTGTGAGAACCCTGGCCCAGAATTTTTTGTTGAGCGCGAGAGTCGGTGTGTGGAGATGCTCCCCCATCAGCTATTTTACTTGTTATCTTCTGTCACAGCGCCTTATCAGATAAGGCGTGCGCTGGCCCTGTGCAACTGAGAAATGCACGGAAAGTGGGATCGAAAAGCAGTATTCGGAGACGAGAGGGCACCCTCGGTCTGAAGCCGTCGTCGTCGCGTGTCGGCTGAAAAGAGGGAGACACAAGCGGCCGTCGCGACGAGCAACAGGCGGAGGCTTACACGACGGGACTTAGTCACGAGGCCGTGAAGTTGGCCATCAACTTCATCGATAATACGAACTCCTTCCCTTGTCTAGTTCGAGTCACATCGGGCCCTGCCATTGGCGGAATTGCGTCCGAGGATTGCGCATGCTGCACCGCTCTTGCCTCCTCTCCTCCCGCCTACGCCCCCCTCCACGCCCTCCCGCTCTTTCTCCGAGTCTCTCGAGGCCCCGCGCGTCCATGGCTGTCCAGCAACCACCCTGGTCGATGCCCTCGCGGCAGGCCGACGAGCCCGTCCTCAAGGTGTACAACTCGCTCACGCGCACCAAGGTCGGTCCCCCTCCCGAGTTTCACCCCGCGCAGCGTGCTCAGATCCGCCCGATGGGCGTGCGCAGACAGAGTTCGTGGCGGGCAGCGGGCGGCACGTGAAGTGGTACAACTGCGGGCCGACGGTGTACGACGCGTCGCACATGGGACACGCCAGGTGAGTCCTGCGGCGCGCGGCGTGTCTGTGAGGCTGCTGTTCGACCGCGTTCAGAAACTATGTCACCCAGGACGTCCTCAGGCGCATCGTGACCGACTACTTTGGGTACGACGTCCACTTTGTCATGAACATCACCGACATCGACGATAAAGTGAGCCCTGAGCACGGCCCACGGTGCTGCCCGCGTGCTGACCGCCCGCGTTGAAACGCTGCGCCCCAGATCATTCTTCGCGCCCGACAAACACATCTCGTAGACAAATTTCGCGCGGATACCGCGCATTTGTCTCGAGAGCTTCTGGACACGGTGCGAGTCGCGTGGATACAATACATCGAGTCAAATGTGGACAAGGGCCTTCCAGAAGAGGACAAGCCTGCACAGGGGAAGGAGTGGGAGGCATGGCCTCGGCTCGCCATTCAATTCAAAGACAAGACATGGAAGCAGGAGTGTCTGAAGAGGAACGAAAAGTTCGAAATGCATTTCTCTGCTGCGGTATGTTTACCTGACAGCTTCACCCATCCCGTTCTGATTTCTCACGGACGCACGAAGAACCGCGCGCACGTAGCCCTCGAGGCAGCGGAAGAACTCCTGAGATCGGGTCGAACCTCGCAAGAACACGCTCACGCACTCATTAACGATGCGAAGGACATTCTGGCCATCTCGCTGGATAAGCAAGTGAGTTCCCAATTCATCCCTGTCTGGCTCTCGTGACCGTTTTCGAAGCATGGCAGGACCGTGACGGACCATTCCATCTTCCGATCCCTCTCGGCCTACTGGGAAGCGGACTTCTTCAAGGACATGCGTCGCCTTCGTGTGCGGGATCCAGATACGCTCACCCGGGTTACAGAATACGTCCCGGAAATTGTCTCCTTCGTGGAGGGCATCGTAAAAAATGGGTACGGCTACGCGGTTGATGGCAGCGTTTATTTTGATACCAGGGCATTTGACAAAGCCGACGGTCATGACTACGCGAAGCTCGAACCGTGGAGCAAGGGCAACCGGGAACTGCTAGAGGAGGGCGAAGGTTAATCTGACCGTTTTGGGACACTGCTCGCGGGTGCTTTTGCTGACCACTTGATGGTGCAGGAGCTCTGTCCATCGCTTCTGGGCGCCGCTCGTCCGCCGATTTTGCACTCTGGAAAGCCTCGAAGCCGGGCGAACCATCCTGGCCTTCGCCATGGGGCCCGGGACGCCCGGGCTGGCACATTGAATGCTCTGTGATGGCGTCCGCGATCTTTGGGGACAACATGGACATTCACTCGGGCGGTATCGACTTGGCATTCCCCCATCATGACAACGAGATGGCACAATCCGAGGTGAATACAGCTCCTAGGGCGCCGTATAGCCACAATGCAGCGAATTCTGATGTGCATGTTCTCTCAGGCTTACCATAATTGCTCGCCTTGGGTGAACTACTTCATCCACACCGGCCATCTGCACATCGAAGGCCTGAAGATGAGCAAATCCCTCAAGAATTTCATCACGATTGATGTGCGTCCCACATGGCCGTCTCCATTTTCCGTCATTGCGCTCACTGCGGATTACAGGAAATTTTGCAAAAGTACACAGCCCGCCAGCTGCGCTTAGCCTTCCTGACGCAGCTCTGGAATGCAAAGGTAGACTTTTCCGAATCGCTTATGACAGGCGAGGTTCGGACCCTCGAGACTGCCCTCAACGTAAGGAAACCGCATGTGCCTTGCACCTCATTGCCGACAGTTGATCCGCCGTGTTTTCCCTGCCAGAACTTCTTCACCACGATCAAGGCACTCGTCGGCCAATCGGAGGCTGATGGGCCCCAGCTGGATGGCAAGAACCGGTTTGGCAGTGCAGAGCGCGAGCTCACGAACGGGTGCGTCTGCACAGCGTCGCATGGGAGCGTGGACGCTCACGCCAACGAGGCATCTGTCAGTCTTCATCAGAGCCAGGCAGCCTTCCGCGCTGCGTTATGCGACTCGTTCAATACCCCGGAGGCACTCAACGTCATACGAGAGCTGGTCTCGCGCACGAACGTATACATCAACTCGCGCGGGAAAGATCTGGACGTGGCCGTCGTCGTGCGTGTGGCCCGCTGGGTGGGCCAGATGCTGCGCATGTTCGGCCTGGGTGAAGGCGAGACGTCTGAAATTGGATGGGGCCAGGAACGTGACCCTGGCGAGGGCAGCGTGAACGTACGTCGTGCTGCCTGAGAGAGGGCGTCCGCAGACAACTCCACTGATGCATGGATGTAGCGAGAGGAGACCCTCATGCCGTACCTTCGGACTCTGTCGTCATTCCGTGACGGTGTACGCAAGCTGGCCATTGCAAAAGGTGACGGGGCCCTCAAGGAGATTTTGGCGCTCTCGGACAAACTACGAAATGTGGACCTCGTGCCGCTGGGCGTTGCTTTAGACGACCAAGAAGGTGAGCGTCTTGGTCGGGATGCTCTGCGTCTTTAATGGCATAGTCTCATTGTTCATCAACTAGACGGCAAGGCATTGGTCAAGTTCGTGCCGCCAGCAGAGCTCATCAAGGCACGGGACGAAAAGCGCGCTCAGGCCGAAGCTAAGGCCGCACAGAAGGCAGCCGCCGTGGAGGCCGAGCGCCAAAAGCGACTGAAAAAGCTGGAGAAGGGTAGCGTAGCGCCGCAAGATATGTTCAAGCCACCAAACGTCTCCGAGGGTGCTTACGGGAGCTGGGATGAGAACGGGCTTCCTCTTACGGACGGAGAGGGGAAGGAACTGAGCAAAAATCAGACCAAGAAGGTGCAGAAGGACTGGACAGCGCAAAAAAAACTACACGAAGATTTTCTCGCATGGCAACAAGCTGGACAGGCGTAACAATCGAACGCTCAAAAATTGTTCGTGAGAGTAGACAAGCTATTGTACACACGGTGATTAAGCATTGGAGGGGTAATTTGTACTTACTGTCGACGGTGATCAAGAATCCCGATAGGAGATCTCTGGATGGTTTCCGGAGACAGTTATTCTATTAGGATGTGTCATGATGGAGAGGGTCGCGATGCATGTGGTCCCGTCTCTGGGATCACCAGTCGCATGCTTGTACCAGGAGATTGGCAATCCCCTCCAGACCTTGCTGGTCTTCCTCGGTAAATCCCCCCAAGGCCAGACAATCGAGATCTAATACCCCGACTACCGTCTCGTAGCCACTCGTCTTTACGATCAAAGGGCAGACAATTTCGCTCTGTGTCTCGCCATCGCAAGCGATGTGGCCGGGATATGCGTTGACATCGGGAACGAGAGCAGTCTGTCGCCTGATGAACGCGTCAGCGCAGACTCCGCGAGCCTGGTCTGGGGTCGTGTTGATAAACTGACATGCTGGCTTTCCGCAGAAAGGCCCGAGTAGCAGGTTATGAGATGCCTCCGATGCAACATCGCCGTGTGCGCCAGCCTGGGTTATTTGTGGCTGGGGAAAGAGACGAGCGACAACGTAAAATCCTGAGAAAACGGAAATAATTAGGGCCGGGCCGACGCGATACGCCCCAAATACACTGTCCGGTAACAGAGCTGAGATGAAATACGCACCGCACCAGTTGACAGCTCTCTCTCCGTGTCCAAAATAAGGCTCGTATGCGAGGAGAGAGCTGTAGATGAGAGACGACGCGTTGGCGAGGTTGGTCACCTGGACGCGGTATGAAACATCAGATAGCGGGGAAGCTGAGAATGGGACACACCCAGTTCCGCTGTCCTTCCAGTAAGGCGGCCAATTGGACGTGGACGTGCTGCCAAAAGGCAGACTTGTTGAGCCCGGACGGAATCAGTGCAGAGTCTGCATGAGGCATCTCTATCTGGCACCGTGCGGGGGCAATAATGTGCTGAGCAGGGTCGCCATTGAATGGAGGAGGCGCAGCTGCCTACCTGGTCGAACACCCTGAATCACCAGATGGAATGAATGGAGGTCGTCGAAGATGGGATTGGAGACAAGGTTTGTCGCGAAGGCGCGCACCTGCAAGTTACCGTTAAGCAGCCTCTGGCGCTGCGGGCCGAGAGATCGATTAGATAAGTGGTTACGGGCATCGATCATTGGGCGACTGTGGCTGTAGCTAATACTTACTTACAGCGCATCGCATCAGCTGGTCGACTACAACCGCCTACTTCCCCCGTCTCTTCATCCTTTCGATCTTTCATATCATGGCTCCTTACCTCGAAACAGTCAAGGTCCGTACCTCCATCATCATGGGATCCGGGAGGAGCTCGATGGGCCATTCAGTCGTTTGCAGATGTTACTGTCTCCGATGATGGCGTCGATACCCTCCAGTTCATAGAAGCTGCGAATGGAGTCGTGGGTCTCTTTGGTACGTGTGACATTCAGGGCTGCGTCAAGCCTGCTAAACGGGCTATAGACCTGTTGGGATCGGCCGCATTCACTACTGTCCAGAATGACCTGAAAGGGAACATCGTGGTAAGCACGACCAACCATGTCGTATTGGTCGTCTCGAGCGCGCATCCTACAGAAAGTTCGGGCTCGCTACGATGCCACCCCCGATTTGTCTGGCACACTGGAGCAATTGGTAGAAAACGAGAAAGGGGAAAAGAAGCGAACAGCGACCGAAGGACTCATGTGGCTGCTTCGTGGTCTCTCCTTCACCTGCAAAGCTCTGCAGTACGCCCAGAAAGAACGGTCACAAGAGCTCTCTGCCGCATTCAGCCAGGCTTACGACGCGACTCTGAAGAAGTTCCACAACTTCATGGTCAAAGGTCTCTTTGCGGTAGGTGGGAGAGAGGCTGCACACGATTACGTGAATTTGATTTTCCGGCACTTTCTCCAAACAGGTTGCAATGAAAGCGTGCCCATACCGCGCGGACTTTTACGCGAAGTTAGCAACCGACCCTAACGGGGGGCCTGCTGTCCTCGCGGAGCGCCTGGATGAGTCGTTGGACGACTGGCTTGCGGCACTTGATTCTATTGTTACCAGATTGGAGACATTTTACGAGAGGGGTGGGCACAACAAGGGGTTCTAGACTTCTTAACGTTCCATTGCTGGGAGCGTAGTATAACAGCCCTGGACTGCTACGAAATTCACCGCATATTCATGTATCCATGACGGAAGGCCGTGCCTTGGCGAGCATTAATGACGGAAATCATGAGGTCCTGCCGCGAAGATGGCGAGCTGTGGTTCGTATGGCCGCCTGTGAGAGTATGACCATGAAAAGCGGACTTTTTAGCGACGTTTTGGTGCCGACGCGTGGAATCCGGTACAATTCAGACGTATTTCTCATGCAGACAATGGCCATATTCACTAGTCGCCGTGCATTCTGTTTGTCTAATTGGTTGCACAGGCTCCCAAGTCCGATCACTGAAGAATGGGAGTGTCATGGAGGCTTGCCAGGAGGGGTAAGCTTCGGTCGCGGTGCATGATAAGCAATTACCATGAAGAGCAAGACACGGATGCTAAGCCTGGCCAGGTGAATGAATGGGATTGAATACGGCGAGCCTATTTGAGTAAGAACAGCACGTAAATACGACAAGATGGATGCTTAGGCCGCCAAGCTCGCAGACGTCGGCGTGCGCAGCACGATACTATAGCCATTTAAGTATGTCGGGTATACAGGCTATTCGCGGGAACAATTTGGCGAGAACTAGCGAATTTGTGGCTGTCAACAGCGAACATGTTGGATGACGTACATAAGCATTTGGCACCCAGTCTAACCGTTGAAATCAATCTTCGCTTGCGAATTGTGCCGCAGCGTCCAGGATCGGAAAGATCACTTTTAGTCGTCCCTGGGTGCCACTTAATCCATTTTGGCGGCGTGCCGTCCCGTGAGCAAGCCATTCACTTATGTACGCTACTCCCCCTGATCGATAATTCTCCTCAAACTTCGCGGAAGCTCGACCAGGCACCGTCGGAGTCCGAGTTGGACGGTAAAATCATACAATCTCGGCAAATCATCCACTTTGCTAGATCCAGTATGCTCAGGGTCGCTCATGGAGAACAGATATGGTGTAGACGCTCACACCTCTCTCCATGAACGAACGGCACCGCTGCGAGTCATGGTGAAAAAGGCGGACTCCGCTCGTCGCTGGCATTCTCATGCTCATCTCCCCTCTCCCCTTGGCGGCGGCCACACACGTTGCAGTGCGCACCGGATGCCCGAGCGGCCAGAAGGTTTTAGGTATTTCCGTAACAAGAACAACTGGGGTGTACTTAAATGCCGTCAGTCGAAGCTCAGGTCATGATGGCAGATCTATGGCTGCCATAGCTCTAGCACTTGGAGGGAACACTAGAGTTGATTGGCAGTTCTGTGGGAGCGTGGCGTGCCGAACAGTCGAGGTCTCAGGGCAACACGACAAGAAGACATAAAAACAAGAGATTACGTGAAAAACGAACGAAGCATTCTAGCCATCGAGTGACAGACGTGGGTAATTCCTGCTAGGGCTCCTGAGCAACCCTCGTTGAGGAAGGATGGTATTAACGGAATGTATGCACTGGTAAATGTCTTGCCGCGCAATAATTTCGCGTAGCCCGCCGCCGTGCAAAATTAAAATATGCCTGCAATAAGACTCACGTACCTTAAGCGAGCGGGGCTGGACAGAGCGTGGCGTCCCAAACCGAGCCAGTCGAGTGTGAAAATGTAAGGTCGACCATGCATCACGGCAGCGCCGCATTTGGGGGCCAGTTTTGTTCCGTCTGCCAAAACCTTGTGGCCGGAATGTTCGGTGGGAAAGCCTGCGCGCTCTCACAAAAGGCTGTGTTCTGGGAGCGCGAACAGAAGATGGCAAGTCCAGACACTCGGTGCAAAAATACGTGTATCTGGAATGTTAAAACGGATTGATTTGAATTCGGAGTGTTCATTGGTCGAACAGGATTCTCCCGGGCATGCCGTTAGCAAAGAGGTCTAAAGAACACCTATCAGAAAAGGTTTTGAGCGGAGTGGGGTCAGAGTCGGTGATAGAACTTTCCGAGACACATGCGGACGGACCACAGTTCAAAAGCCCCCTTGGGCAACCATATCGTGACTAGTGTTATGCCTAGTCTAGCGGCTAAGAGCATATTTACTTTCTTCCTAGAGCTCCGCCAGGTGCGGCGCGCCGACCTCGGATATCTCATCATCCTCGCGCCTATCCACTATAGGAGGATCAAAGCCTATCAGACCCACTTGCCGTGGGTGGCGATCAGTTCGAGATTATTTTCAGTTGCAAACGCACTGGATTGATCAGCTCCGGATTAGTTCCACTACGGACGTATATATTAGCATGTGGCACTCGTCCGTGCAACGTTGTTGAGGAACCAGAGTCGCGCGGCATAGCAACCTAAAGTTTTGTGCACTTCACCGCGTGCTGCCACTAGTAAGGGATCAAGAGGTAGTTCCGAGTGTCGACTTGGCCGCGCGAAGTCCAGAAGAGATGCTTGTAAGCTCCGCCATATGATTATATCTGGGAATTATCGAAACCTTCGAGGTCGGCAGAGTAGCTATACTCGCATCTCGCGTGACTGTGTCATTCAATCGTGAATAGGAAACTCACCTTTCTCTGGCAGAATATTGTGCAAATCTTCAGGAAGTGCTCGGTGGAGACTTTAGAGAATTCCATACCGGAACTCCCACAGTAGCTTCGTTGTGATTGACAGGACGAGGCCAACTGACAGAAGGCCGTTAGGTTTGCTCGTGGGGACCAAGTCTTTCTTTATGGCCTTGCCATAGGTGATCCAGACCAACTTGCGAGTCTCCTTCGGGGCAAGTCGAGGTGCGCGTCCCGTCGAGCCCGGACACGAGCACTAATGATAGAAACCGCATCTGGGCTCGAACACAGACGATAAGCGGAGCACGAGATGGACTAGTTGAAGAGAAACGTACACAAGTGACGGCTGCTCGCCAGGCCCAGATGAGTCGACGTCGGCGACCAATGAAGAGGGGGAAACGTTCGCGTCCGTTCACCGATAGGATACTCGGAGTCTGGATCACGCCGACGCGGCTGAAGTGGCGCTAAGAATTGTGTATAATGTTGCCACCCGTAGCGGTTGCAAGCGAAACGTCGTCGAACGCGTCTGGGGAAGCTGAGTGGGTCGTAATTAGTGCTATTTTGACCAATCATATAACACAGCCAGGAGAGCGTGCCGCGACAAATGGGCGGCTATGGAGATGTACGCATGGTCTGCGCATCACGATCACCTGGCAACTCGCAGGACGTCTCCCACATCTCATGAATGCCGTCACGGACGAGGAGAGGCCTGGGCTCGACGAGCTGAGCGCAGATCCGTAGAGCTGGAGAGCAGTAGTCGCGCGTGGGCGGCTTGGGCTTGAGAAAGAGGGAGTCACGAGGGAGAAGCAAGCAATAGAGTGCGATTATAGAACGACCAGAGGATAAGGCTATCTCTTCCGGGAGCTGCAGCGCGCGCGCAAGGGCCTCGTGAAAGAGCCGGCAAACTCCCGGAAGCTGATTGAATCGAGAAGGAGAAACTTTGACGTTACCTCGATCGGACAAGGACTGTCGGCGTAGAAGGGGGGTGTACATCAGAACGTGGAACCAGACGGGCCATATTATTATATTAATCTATTGAGTGAAGATGGGCTGCGTAGCGAAAGTAAGCAAGCACTCACGCGCCCGTCTGGAGTGGCATCGGGGCCGACTCTGCCCTGGCGGATGGCGGACACGATGGATGCTGGTAAGCTGGGTCGTGGATGCGGGATCACGAACGTTTAATTTGTGGCCTCAGTTCGCGGGGATAATAGCCGTGGGCTGCATTGATGAATGTGGGACTGCTCAGTGCTTGTAAGATTGACGTAAATCCATATTATGGCGCGGGAGTGATGGCAATAATATCTTCTTACATAACAGCGAGCAATCGAAACGCGTGTCTTGGCCGTGCACTTATCCGAATCGGTGGAGATGAACTGCGTCGCGGGCAGTCGACCGCAGTGCTGCCACGACATCTTCTGGCGAAGCGCGATGGAGCTCAATATTCAATACCCTGGGTCGCAGCGATACCAAACACATATCAAATGGAAGGCATGCTCTGCGCCAATTCAGATTGTATGGGCCACGCTGGCAAGCGACGATGTGGCAAGGTCTATCAGTCTGGTACCGTATGTTTTCTCTAATCAGCCGTTTGAACCCGTTGTTGCGGGCGACAGCGTGTGCTCCTGGTCGCTCAGAGTGTAATGCTTGGCCAACTGTGCCGTGTCACACCAGGCCGCCAGGGCCTGTACGTTTGCCGATGCGTCACACCCTGGGTTTTGACCCGAGATAGCATCCAGATCGGCTTGGGGTAACAACCTTTGACTAGCGTACGGGCCGCAAGATCAGGACCTGGTTCCAAGCTCCCTTTCTGGTAAGACAACCGAATGTTATTGCTTTCTGTGGTTTAGTCAGGGAAATCTCCCACAAACTCTATCAAATATGTCATCGCAAGCCAAACGGCCTCGAAGCTAAAGTGCGTCCCATCTGCTTTTATGTCCGCCAATCCGTCCCCCGACCTCATGACATTTTCTGTCCTCCCCCTCCAGCATCTCGCTATGCAGCCCCCCACGTCCACCAATCTCCGCATTCGCTCTGTTCGTGATGCGGAGATCGTGCTCCATGCCGTCGCGCTCAACATTCTCCCCATGGTCACTCGCCGCCTCGACGACGAAGAGCGACTCTGTCTCCGGTCCGGCTGCGTCTACGTCTGGGAGGAACGAAGTAGCAATCCACTGGAAGCTACGGGACAGGAGATCCAGAGGTTCACAGAGGGTCGTAGCTGGGGTCCATCGCGCGCTCGTGACGTGAGTCTGTCCGACCGGAACACCGCTGTTTGGCCCCATACTTGTTGGCTGACTTTAACATTGCCTAGGATTTCCTTCTATACTATGAGAAGGAAAGTGCGAGCAGGTCCTCGCTTCTCTTCAGGAACAATTTAGCAGGGTAAGTTCGGTTCCTTGTTCTCTCCTTTGCGGACTTCTCGCCGGTTCACACGACGATACTCACCCTAATGCACGTCACGCAGATCCTCCCAGCTAATAAAGCAAACATATTCCGTCTTCGTGCACGATTCGTCCCACACTCCTCGCAAATGGCATCTCAGTCAGTCAGCTGTTCTGTCCATACTAGTCAATGTCGACGCTGACACTGTCCTTATCTCGAACGCAGACGCATACTACACCCAGGATACTGTCGATCAGCTCAGAACGGTCGACCAGATGCCCGAACTACGTACAGTCCGAGTTCCGGAGGGCCTCTACGTCTGTGCCCGAATGGGTGGCACACGTAGAGGTAGCCGAGCCTCGCGAACTACTCCTGTAGACGGCAGGGTTCCTTCACCCCCATCGACGTCGTCTGTCGGCACGCCGCGTCCTCCATCGCAGTCTCCAACGGCAGTGGCCCCTCATGCCACGTCGCCCGTGCCTCAGCCAGGCACCTACCTACTCGAGCGACGCCTCGCTCCGTTGGAATATCTGGAGAATATTTCCCCGCAGGTTCGTGATCCTATTGACGACGCCGTCATCAGGCGTTTCGATAGGCTCTAAATGCTACCTGTTCCGATGGACTGTCTGTCCACCTGCCATTTGCACATATTTTTGGACGTTGTCCACGGACTGCCGGACAATCATTTCTTGCACGCAATTGCTTCCACCACTGTATTCATATGTCTTGCTAGTTCACACGACCGCGTTGCCTCTTGCTCATCGTCTCTATCGTTTCCTCGTAGCTAAGTAATATTCTTTCGGGCGCCGGTAGAGGTTTTGAGAACATACTCATATACCCATGGCATGATCCGACTCAGTGTACATATTGTCGTATTGGACCCCTACGGGTCTCTAAATGTTCCGAATAAATGTATTCCCGGACTACCTCCGTAAACAAATATGCTAGGCTCAGGTTCCCGACGCTAAAATGTTTTGTCGTTAATTAATACCGTTCAATCGAGCGCGTGAACATAATCAATTAAACCTCTAACGGCACGCGAGAAGCGCGTCCCGATTCAGCCGGAAAGACAAGCATGTCCTCCACACTATTCATTTCCAGGCGCCGGCGGTACAAGTATCATGATATGGTTCCGTAGCAGCCTTAAGACGCTCCGAGCGGTTATCTCGGGACTCATGCCGAAGTTTAGACCATATGTGGCCGTGCGTAGCACGTCTGCTATAGCCACAGCGGGCAGAGCTTAGCCAAAACTTGTGCTGTGTATATCTGGTGATACGTCCATGTGATACTGTTACGAACTGCGGGCGCAACATACGTTTATCATGGATCACTGATTCTGACAAAGAACATTCAGACTGCTAGAAGGCTTCGTCGCTCGTAGGTTATCGAACAAAATCGGACGCAATAGACTCTGACTCGTTCTGAGCTTAAGCTTGAACTTTGACCCTACAAATGCTGGAGTTCTGACTCGTCTGATAAGGATTTAGTTCCGAAGCTTAATCGACAATAAAACCGCAAATGAGCGGCTCGGAATATATGAGAGGAAGGCGCTCGTTTACAGGCGGACAGAGCGGTCGAACTTGCCCTGATGCGGGCGTGAGGCAAGCATGGTAGCAGGACGTCAGACCGTATCCACAAGTTTGCACCCGTTGCGTCAGATTCGACTAGACCAAATAGAAGCGCTCATTCATATTAGTGAGTGCAATCATACGCAAGCTAGCGTGTCAAAGAACAGAATTTAAGAACAGACGTCATTACAATCTATCAGACCCGGTCGCGATCTGATGTATTCGTTCATTTCGAGAACAGCATAAGAACGAGAGCTGCAAGGCAGAAGACTCCAACTCAACAAACCGAACATCATTGCACCCGGCAACGCATGTTCATAGCATGAGCTAGCACGTCATGTGAACGAACCACACACTCTGGCGGTTGTTCTATCTGGACGTGTGGGCCGCGCCCACACGAGAAGTTGCGTGCCTGTACGTTTGTTGGACATGCTTGTTGACGGGCCAGATTTGCTTTCTGCGGAGATACGTCGCGTCTAGAACGTGTACACCTTGATGGAGAACCCCACGTCTTGTTTCCCGCCGGATTGATGCAGCCATACCTTGAGACGTAGGGATTCCTGCTTATCAGTGTCCGATGGAACACGGAGAAGCGCAACCGTACCTTAGCACCAGAAATACTACACACCTCTCACGATTGTGCTAGCTGCATTGATGCCGATGTCACGACATCACCACCAGACCCAATGCCAAGAGACCGGAGTTCTAGGTGCGAGGGTGCGAGGACGTCTGTCACTGAATATAAGCACCTGCAGTCACGAGGATCAGGGAGACTTGTGCGCAATTGGAGGATAAAGAATCACCCGGTGTTAGTGCTTTCATGGCGCTGCTAAGTATGAGAACTGTGTCCCTACACAGGGTTCAACGCGAAATCAACGACATTCAAACGTGGACGATTATGTATTAGACCTCTCATCGACTGAACCATTTGACGTGAGGTGGTGTCCAAAGGCACTATCGACCCCCGATGTTCGAGAGGGGCACTGCGGAATAGAGATCATTATTCTACGAGCGCGGATGCGATCGGATTCCTCATCAGATCGCTTCGAGTATCGTCAACAGTCGAGGTTCTGGACACGTTCATCTCTGCTCAACATATATCAAAAAGATTGTGAGATGCTGCGTATCAAGCGATGAATGAGTGGTAAAAATGAATGGAACCTTGACTAACCATGACAGCGGTATACGTATAAGAACAACAGAAGGTGGCAGGATGCGACTTGGCGCATTGTACGTTCGATGATAACTAAGTGATCCAACGAAAGGTATGAGTCAGTTAACGAACGGAACCAGAACGACTGGCAACTCCGTCAACCCGGGGGAGGGATATGCCTAGCGCTATTGTGCATACGTGTGTCCGCACTCGGGCTGCGATTTGTCTCATTGTGGAATAAGGGAAACGTCTTCAACGTGCTTGAGCCTTGTTCTCTTCTTCACAGAATACAGATACATTGAAATTTGAATGCTGCGGCAGAAGTGTCTCAGGGCTGGAACCTCTCGGCCATCATACGGCAAGCCCGAAGGGATGCGCACAGAACTCTGTGAAGACAGCTTCAAAGTGTGACGATCAGGTCCGACATTGGGACCTAGCAGGGCTTTAGGTAAGAATGTGGGGATGCCTACGCAGAAGTACGTCATTTCCGAGCAGGAAGAATGCTACGTGAGACGTGCGCATCTTTCGCAATGAATTGACTTGCTTCTCGATAGGTCGCAGCTGTGTAGAACACGGAGAAGTCTCGGTCAGAGATAAAACTGAACATAATTCTTCTGAACCACCGGGAACATGATCATCCTGGAGGATGCCACCACGTCCTAGTCAGGTCCAGCGGCTGAGGTTCTTATTAGATCCGGCAGTATGAGCGCGTATGCTAATAATTTCCCAGCATTCAAGCGCGCGTCGGGCGTCAGCGCGGATTCGGGCGATCGTCCCAGGGAATCTGCGCAACTGCTTTGCGGACATAAGGTAAATCTTGCAGGGAGCTCCACGAGATATTGACCATCAACCACGGTCATGTCACGACCCTGAGCACCTGTGTGGCAGAGCGAATGTGGACAAGAAGGCGTTCGGGACCGAGTACGAGTCAGCGACAGCGTCGTTGAAGTCGAAAGAGATATCACCTAAAAGCCTATCCATGTTACGGGCAAAAACCAGACAGTGCAGTTGAAGCGGGGGGGACGGAAACAGATTGTAGTCAGGTACATAACGACTGGCCGACGTGGGACGCCTAATGCTGGAATACGTTCACCCTTGCGCTACGGTAGCGAAGTTGCGGTCTAATTCGGCGACAATCAGTTGATGATGTGACACGAATAGTATGCGTACCCATGAGACTGAAAAGGGTGACATTGGGCACAGGATGATCTTCGTTTCAAAATAATGATCCGTAAACCTATCGGAATGACGTGCACCCACCCACAGAGGAACAACGATATGCTTTGGGGATGGAAATGACAGAAGGGCAGTGGTGGGCTGGTTCAAATCGGGCACAACGGGGCGGTCGAGTGGAGACAATAGGCTGCGGCAGAAAGTTGGCAGACGATGTAGGCGTGCTCGTTAAGTCGTTGAGACTGATAGCAGCATGATTCCATGCCCACACTGTGAAGGACTGAGCGGCCAACCTAGTACATCACCGGGTTCGTATATGGGCGTCTCGCAAATAAGATTCGAGGGAACCTGAAATGTTAGTCAATTGTCTGGGGGGAGATGAATAGAGCAGACGACAGGCGTGTGTGAACGGTCTGGAACGGCGAATTCTAAGACGAGCGAACATATTGGGATCGCATCATCTTCTCGCCCCCACGTTCCCTGCCTTGAGTCAGAGATTTGTTGCTTGGAGAAGCACAGCCTAGACCGCGAAGTGGGAGCAGAATAGAACGAACTCAAGCCCATTTCTCATCATGTTGACACGATTTTGCAGCGAGGGGAGCATCACGTCAACCCAAGTACAAGTTACGAAAGGAGTAAGGTTGCCGCAGTCGGCCGATATGTTGGCAGCTGTTCGTAATATATGCATTGTCCGGAGGAATTTGGGTGGACCGAACAGAAACGGGGCGAACAATTCTCGAGGGGCGGATCCCAGTCATTTGATGAAGAACGTCTTGTCTTAATTCTTTTCATCTTTTCACAAACAACAGCAAACGGCCGCCCACGAAGCTGTGCATTCTTAACGACTCATTCATACTATGTGTCGGGAGAAACAGGGACAAGACGGGACGAGAACCTCTGACCGAGAGAGTGGCGCGGCGTTGACGGGAAGAGACGACCCAATGAATACGGGAATGGGGAGATTTCCGAGCAGCTGCCACCATTGACTTGTACTCCGTTCGATATTCCATGGATTGATCAGCATGACAGCGACACCCATTCGAGGCCTTCTCCGTGCTTCCCTGGCCTGGAGCCTGAGACAACGCGGCGATTTCTCCTTCTAGTGCGCGGTGAGGTGCAATTTTCAGAGTGCAATAGACCGTGCATCACAATGGGACACTCAGCTGACAGCATGCGACCCTGCTTGATGGGCTGCGAGAAAAGGAAGCGAGACGTGAACTTGACAGCGACTTTTGCACGGCATGCCCGCTGTAAAACAAAAAAAAAAGATGGCGAAAATTAGGGTCACCGCAGGATCATTGGCGTGGTGGCCAACCCACGGCGGATGTAGGGCAGAAAAGGCCACGAGGGAGAATACAAAACGGCTACAAGAGGCCCAAGCGGCGGGAGAGAAATGCCTAGGCGAGTGCGAGGCCTCGAGGGGGAGAAAACAAAGCAATGCGGAGGGCGCGTTGTGCGACACGTATGTTGGAAAGCGCAAAACATTGGCACACAAACGGGCTTCGCAGGGTGTGTACGTGAAGATGCTGATGATTGGACGGGCAGAATCAGCAAACGGTGGCGCCTCTGGCCCAACAACGGCACAGGCCGCGTTGATGCTTATTCCCGCCAACGGACCGATTGGCGGGGGAACAGATGTCATGGGGGCATGCCTCGCATCGCTGACACAGACCCACGGCAACCGAGAGCCCAGCAAGTCCCCCACCACCACAACCGGGCCACGACTATACCACCAGGAGTCGAGGCCGGCATCCCGTCCCTTCAACACACACCACCACCGTGGTAAATGAGAAGCTAGGGATCCAGTCTAGATATAGGACGCCCGTGATCCGCCACCCCATCCACTCAAACTCTACCCACAATCAAGACAGATCAAGGGTCCACTATGCGTGCTAGGGCCGGGCACGGGGCAAGGTCAACTGCAACAAAGTTTCGGGCGTAACACACGCCGTGGCAAAATCGTACCTGAACCAGGAGAAAGGCGTCCCCCAAACAAAGGATAAGCGACGCTGCCCACGATTAACAATGACTCTCGTGCACCCAAAAGAGGAGCGGCTGTCTATTTCCGAGAGCGTAGAACATCGTAGAACGAACAGAAGACACCGAGGAGTACGAACGGAACCGTCTGCCGAGCGGTCGGAATAGCCTGCATGGTCCCGGGCGAGAATCACTGGCTCGCATCGTGTGAGAAATGTGCTTCAAGACCTCCACAGCTTGCACCGTCCTCGTGCCTTCGGACGAAATATATGGAAGGCGCGATCTCCGGCATAGCTCCCCTTCCATTTGTACTCAGAATCACTGAGCAGCGAGCTAAGCAGTCGATCTATCGCTCTCGAGCTACTTGCAACGAATGCTTGGCGCCGACATACAGGAAGCGGCGGCGTTACCGAGGCTTCAGGACGAGCGATGCACATGAGAGCGTCGCATGCAACTACACCGTCCATCGTCATGAGTCGCTCGATTTCCGCCGTTTGGGGGACAAGGGTAGTTGCATCGCGGGCGAGGGCTCCATCTGCGCTGTCCGCACTCTTGTATTCGGAAGCGAGGGCAAACGGCCACTATCAAGAGCCGCGTAGGGCGAATCTTGACGAGGCGATCGCAGCGGCTCGGGTGGATTACCGAGCCTTGTATTTTCCTCGCGGCGTCGCGGAGTACGGGGGGTGGAGATCGGAGAAAGAGCATTCAGCTCCAGCCCTTCGGGTAGCGTACTAGGTTTGTTAGACGCAGATGCTGAAAGATTATGCAGGTGGGATTCGTAGCGTCTATGGATGTCGCTCCCTTGAAGGCTCTTCCCAGCAGACGAGGCGAAGCTGACATCTTCCATCTCATGCCCCCATTCTAAGTCGTCGCTCTGAGTCGATGTGGTTGCACTAACCGAATCTATAGATAGCCGTCCAACGAAAACGTTCTTGTGTATAGGAGATATCCGTGGAGGAATGACATTAAAGAGGGAACCGAGGCTTCTGTTCTGAGACCGCGAAATGGGAGAAAGTGAGTGCGTAGTCGATGATGGTGGCGCTGACGTAGGAGGGTGTATAAGTGAGGATTCAGAGCCTGATAATGAACGCGGCAAGGTCGGATGAGATGACTTCGGGCGGCGAGGTAAGGTATGCGACTTGCTGGGTATACTGGGCTCTCTAGGTGTGACAGATGACGAAGATGATGGAGGAAAAAACGAGAGCTGCGATACGGGCACGCGAACAATGTTCAGCGGGGGTAGTGAGCGGTCCTTCCCCGTGTCCTTGGCTTCTTCATCGCTATCACCGCCATGCGGTGCCGACTGACGGGACTCCGTTGGATTAGTGGGCGAATCGACGTCTAAAAATGCCGCTTGAAGTTGTTTCGAGTGACGGGCTATCTCTAGTGGAATGTAGAGTACCTTGCGGAGGTGGATAGGATCCGACGGCCAAAGCTGATTCGCGCGGCGAAGATCGGGCATGGATACCCCATATTTCAGAGCCACCCCAGCAAGAGAATCCTTGGGCATTACCTTCGCGCAGTGGCACGAGAAGCAGCAGACAATAAGCGGTCTACAGCGTTAGAGCGCGCTCCGCTTATGTACGGACTGGAACATACCTCGTGCACAACGACCAGCCGCTCATCTGTCCTCTGCGACGTCCGACCTGCTTCGCTCCTGCCGACAGCTGCGTCCGTACTCTGCCCATCCGATGCCAGCTCGACGTCGCTCAGCAGGCGCTTCATGTGAGGTCGCGTATTGTGAGCCGAGAACCACCCGCCAATAAAGCCCTTCTTGGGCGCCGAGCCGGACGCTAGTGGATGGCTGCCGGCGCCATCGTCAAGGTCGACATCCAGCGTACGAGAGCGGAAGTGAGGGGTACGCTGCGGGTCGCGGTCAATCTTGGTTTTCCACGCCGCACCCTCAGAGCCGCGACGTCTGACGGCAGGGCGTGTCGCGTTTGTGTTGACGGCGGAGCTGAATGAGGAGTCGGAGTGGGCAGTCCATGGATTAGAAAGGACGTGTTCTGGGTAGTCTTGGGTGCCGTTATGCGACGGCATAGGGCAAGGATAATTCCACGGGCCGTCTGATGCAATCCAAGAGAGTCAGAACGCAGGATTCATGTGGCTGCAAGGCGCGAGTCACATCCTATGAGCGCGACCCCGGAATTGCACAGGGCACATACCTCCTTTCCCCGCGCCGGAGCGCAACAACGCACGGAGGCTTGCTGGTGGACGGTGTGAGTTCGGAGACGGTGGATGGATGGGCGGCGACGACGATGAGGAAGCGGTCGTCGGCGAGCAACCTACTTATACTACCAAGCGCCAAAGTGCGCTGCCCGTACACCTGGTCACGTGCTATTCGATCGATCTCAACCAGTGGCTCACTCCAGCTGAGATGGTCGGCCAACCTCCGAGTCTGACTCTTCGCGAATATTCCTGCAATATTGCATCACGGCTGGATAGCATCATACTGTGCTCACTACCATGTTGTCCCAGGTGGGTCCCGACCATGACAAGCAAAATTTCACACCAGACATACGCACGCATGGAGTCCCAACGTAGCCTCCACCCCAACACCACGAACACGAGAAGGTGTGGTCGCTGTGGGTCCGCGCCGCAAACTACACTTGTGTGGCACACAGATACAGCCGAGATACACACAGATCTTCCGCTGAGATACAGTCTTCAGTCCGCGGGCCCGCGCGGGATGCTCGTCGCTTGGAGCACTGTGCCTAGACGATCCCCATGATGATGCCTCGATCCACTGGCATCTCCCAACCCTTTTATTTGCACCCCGGTCGCAAATTTCCACTGACCGGCGAAATTTTGCATCTTGGTCGCAGGGAACAGTGCGGTTGGCGCAGATGTGGGGTGTTATGTTAGCATAGTAGTCTTCTCCAGTGCCCCCAAATTTTACTACGCCGCCCTCAATTTAATTCACTTGATTCTTTCATTTGGTTCCTCGAAAAATACAGTGGCACTACAGAAGCAATACATCGCACCACACTCCATCGCCAGCACAACTTGGCCATCGATCGCACGATATGATACATCATAGTCCAACTCGCAAACCGATCAAGAGGTCATAGATCAGTGGAAAACGGGACAACGTCACCAACGCCCCGGGATAGGGATAATACAACCCCTGCTCAGAGTCGAAAGAGAAATGAATAAGTTGGAATAAGTAAAAATCAAACACCACAAACGCAACTGATCGGCTTCTCCATTCAAATCCACGCACTCCAAGTTTCACTCTTGTTGCTCTTCCCTTGGCCCCTCTGAGTCCTCTCTACTCCGCTTAGTCCCCCCTCCCGTTCCCACCTGCTGCTGCACTGCACCCACACCCGTCACGCCGACGACCAGTCCTTTCAACCAGCCATTCTCTCTCCGGAGCGCCTCACATTCTTTCTCTAGCTCGCTCACGCGCACCTCCAGCTCCTTCGCCTTGCGCTCCAGTGCTGCTTCTCGTTCCTTCTTCTTTAAGCGGAATCGCGCAGATGCCGCCGTGTTCCGCCGCCGCTTGTCTTCCGAGGCCGTCATCGGCGTCCCGGACTCTTTCTCCTCTGCCTCCACACTCTCGGGCGACGCCACGGACGAGAACGACGCACGGCCAGCCGTACGTGCACGCTTGGATGCTGGGGCCGGCGTGGTCTGCTGTTGGGGCTGTTGCTGCTGCTTCTGCTGTGGTGGCTGAGGCTGAGATTGAGGCTGAGGCTGCTGCTGGGATTGTTGTAGTGGTGGTGGTACCAGGCGCTGTTGCTGAGGCTGGCCCGAGACAGAAGTAGGCGGTCTCGGCATCACCGACGCGTTCGGGGGCGGGAACAGCGAAGCAGCATGCAGGGAGAGCAGTTGCGCGAGCGAGTGTGCGGTTGGCATCGGCGCAGGTGGAGCGGGCGCCTGCTGCACCGGGGGGACGAGGAAGGGGTCGATGCCCATTCCCGCGAGGATGCTGCCGATGTCGAAGGGTATCGACGCGCCGGGATCGTTTGACGACGTCGGATGCCCGTTGTGCGCGACGCCCGTCGGTGGGAGGACCGTCCCTGTCACGACATTCTCGTGCGCGGTGGCCTCAGCGATGCCCGCACGCATGCTCACGTCGTCGTCTTGCTCATTGTACCTATCGGCGTCGTCTTCCGCACGTGTACGCCGACTTTTGAGGTCGCTGGTGTGTTTTTTGGCGCTATCGCTAAGGGGAAGGCCGAGCGGCTCGTCGGATTGAAAATTCAAGTGTGTCCAGAGGTCGAGCTGGGCGTTGAAGTCGGGAAAGGGTGGGATGGAAAGGAGGTCGGCATCAGAAACGTTATATGGTGTCGCTGGAGGTGAGGGATGCACGATATTGAGGCCCTGAAGGTGTGAAGGAGCCATACCGGTGGTGCGATGATCTGTGGATAAAAAATCTGATTCTGCTATTCTCCAAGCTTTTGTTGCCGGTCAGATCTGCTGCAGGAAGACCTGCGAGGCGGGGAGGCTCGTGAGTGAGGAGCGTAGCGGTTATGCAGCAAGGAACAGCATACGCGGGCGGAAAGTGGGCGAGAGGGAAGAGTGTTAGGCTCTTGAGGAGCGCGTACAAGTAAGATGGGCCCCAATGGAGGTTACAGGGAGAAGACTGATGGGTGACTAAGCTCGTCGGACCGGAAGGCTTCGTAAGGCTGACGGCCGGGCGCGACAGCCACTCTCCTCCTCCGCCTTACGATCGGTGTGAATATCGATGAGTGCAACTTTGTATTCACCAACACTCGTCGCGCTCTCTAGCCAGCTGCACAGCGAGATATATAACCTTTACCACCTCAGCGCATGCCGCACATACTCTCGTGTTAAGATTTCCGAAACAAATTGTCTGGAGTGGGTTCCAGCTGTCTCATGACTCATAACCGACTCATTCGGTCAGGTTCAACCGCCCAAATGCCATTGATAAGCGGCGCAAAACATGTGGTCGGCGTCCCAGATTGGAAGGCAGATTAGATACCAAGAGTGCACCGGCCAACAGCGCCAAGGCTTGTTGCACGCGCGATTCATGTCGGGATCTGCCAATCCAGAGCTATATATTTATTGCCTGCTGTCAGGCGGTGGGTATCATACAAAGTGAATTCAACGCATTGGCTATAGAACAGGCACGGTGGCGCGTTCTCGGTAGCGTACCTAGTCCTAGCGGTACACGCACCGTTCACCTCCATTTGCTGAATAGGGTCATCCGGCTCGGACAAGCGCGTCAGGAGGGCATGACACTGGCATCCCGGCGTAGACCGAGATGGCCTAACAAGGATCAGCTCACCAGGCCGTCCTATCTATCCCCAGGGAGACTTGCGGTCATAATGACCTCTGGAGAGCGACCCACCTGTTTTGCCTGCAAGCATAACGCCGGGATCAGAATAATGGTTCCGAAGACGCCGGCGTGCTACCGCATCACTACCCGCCTGAAGACATTCGGAATCGTGCTCCAACTAGCATGCCTCATGGGGTAAGTGACATGGGCTATTCGACGTCTTGAGTCTCGGATAACCAGAGACCATATAAAGAGCCCAGGGGACTACGAATCACGGCTGGTCTTTGTCATGCTGGTCGTGCTTCATGCGCGTCTCTCTTCAGAGGTCGAGACAAGTGTAAGTGACACTTTCGGGGTCTTCGATGAACGTGGGCTGTGAATATTGGAACTGGCGGCCGTGGCATCCCACGCAGGAAGTGAGGTCAAGGGTGGGCTTTCAGGATTAGGCAGGCCAAGATTGTGAGGGAGAGAATCACCCGGAGTAATACGGCGGTATGGAATGGGAGCCCGAGAGAACGCGAGTCGGTCTGAGGTCCAGGTCCAGGATCAGGAGGTTACTACTATTACCACGAGTTTGAAATAAGAGCGAGGAATCGCAGCCGCATTTTCCACCTGCGACTCGCGCAGGAAGCACAGAGCTAGAACTATGCAGGAGTTTCTAGCCCAACGAGAACCCGGGTGACCTGGACCAAGACAGGGAAAGCCGGGGAAAAGGAAGACCGAGCGAGCAGTTAAATCGCATCGTCGTGTCCTGGTCCTCACGGTAAGTAGCAGGCGCATCCGTCATCGACCGGGCCCCGATCCTACCAGATCTCTTCTACCCGGTGCACCATCGGATTTCCGGCTGTGGGCAATCTTCGATGCATACCGATATGCACCGTCGTCTTTCATCTCGGCATTAAGAGGGATGAGATGTTGAACACCAACTCGTCTCAATAGATCGGGGACAGGTCAAGTCTTGTAGACACGTATCTTGCGGAAGGCAGTTAGAGCAATCACCCTGCTGAAAGCAATGCATATACGCTGAACGCGTTTGCGCATCCCGGAGCATTTGCTAGAACCCGGAAAGAGGGCCTCGAGCCTGGAACCTGGTCCACAGACTGCGGCAGTGCGGATAGGGGGAGCGTCGATCGTGCTGTCTGCTGTCGTGCGTGAGGAACACCAGTTGAGATGGAAGAGATTGTGGAGATGGGATAGGAGATATGTATCTTGATCGTTGTTCCACTATCAGGGAGCGGTGCTCCGTGGTTCGTGCGAGATTCCTCATCGTGTGACCCGGCTGGGCGGTAGTGTATGCGCCCTGCGATGTTTCCGAGGTTCAAATCAAAGATGGTAGGTGCAGCAGCACATGAAGGAGGTTCTGTCTTATCTTAGTCGGCAGCTGGACCCTGGGCTTGAGCCCTGTGTGCGAGGGGTGTTAGGGCGGTACACGATAGGGTTACGTACTTGAGCGCGAGGATTTTTTTAATCCCCAGAGCGACGTGCAGTCCGGGACTAGTCATCCAACAGTGTTACGTCGAGCATGTGTTGGACTGAACCTGCGGATTCGAACAAAATCTACAGACACAAAGAAGAACATGTATCTCACGCACCCTTGATTTCCTTGAAGTCACAGCGTTTGAGCCGAGATGTACTCACATGGACCACGGACGACTTTTGATGGCGGCAGGGTCGTAGGCTTGACTCTTAGTGCATCGAAGTTGTCTTCCAATGACTCTCGAATGTAGCATTCCACCAGAGCTTAAGTTAGATCCCGCTAGCTAGGCTATCTCTAAGCTATCTGACAAACTCAAGACAATCGTGACAAATATTCCGCCCGCACCATAACGGGTGGCTGACTCATCCCGCCGCCCGATCGCTGCCAGTGGCGCCCGTGCAGGTCGTTCGCCCATATTGCTCAAGGCGACGACCTGACCCGCGCCGTTCTCTTACCCTATCCACCACCTACACACCATCACCACTGCTGTCGGTTTTCGTGGCACGCGTCAGCTCCTCGGCACTCAGGCTATCAAGCTCAACAGACAACATAAGACACAAGAAAGTGACGCAAGTCGCCATGTCGTCCATCCCCGCCCCTGCAGCAGACAAAGTCACGGTCCCCTTCTTCAAGAAGAAAGGCCGTGGACGTCCCACGACCGCACGCAAGCGCTCCGCCTCCCCGCCCACGGGCGCAAGCAGCTCCCTCCCCACTGCGTCCTCCTCTTCCTCCACATCCAAATCCGAAGTGGTTCTCCCCTCGCGGAAAGCTGCCGCGAACCTTCTCAGCGCGGGAACGAAGCGCACGCTGTCCCAACGCGACGGTGACAACCGCGTTATTGACAACAGCGATGACGAAGATGAGCGAGACGGCCCCGACGTAAAATGGACTGCCGCGGGCTCGCACACGAATGCAGCGCTCGAGATTCTGCAAGGTGACGAGGCGGCGGAGATCCTCGCCAAGCGCCAGCGGGTCTCGCGCGAGGAAGACGAGGGGGAGGCGGAGGTGCCTGACGACGGACTGTATCGTGGGCAGAAGGCGTACGCAACTCACATCCGGAAGAATCAGGAGATCCCGAAGGCGATGCGTGCAGGCCCGCAACGTGCAACGGGGAGTACGATTCGGACCGTCACGATTGTGGACTACCAGCCGGACGTGTGTAAAGATTATAAAGGTGCGTGGCGCGGATTGTTTGGGTTGTGGAAGAGATGCTCATGATTTGTGATATCGACAGAGACGGGCTTCTGCGGGTATGGCGATACTTGCAAGTTCTTGCACGACCGTGGGACGTGTGAGTGCTTTTGTTTATCCTCTTCCGCCACTTCGTCTTATCTTAACATTCTTCTTACAGACCTCGCCGGCTGGCAGCTTGACCAGCTCGCCGCGGCCCCACGAAAGTCCGCAGGGGATGCACCAGAAAGCGATAGTGACTCAGACGAAGACGTCCCGTTCGCGTGCCTAATCTGCCGCAAACCGTACACGGAGCCGATTGTGACGCGGTGCGGACATTACTTCTGCTCTGCATGCGCGATACGGCGGTTCGCGCGGACACCAAAGTGCGCGGCATGTGGCGCGCCAACAGCGGGGATCTTCAACCGAGCGGATAAGGTGATTGAGAAGATGAGAAAGGCACGGGAGGCGAAGGGAGAGGGGGGTGAAGGCGAAGAGGGGGAGGAGGGCGCGGAGATCAAGGGAGTGGAGATTGAGGGGTTGGGGAAGGGTAGCGAGAGCGGAAGTGGAGATGAGGACGAAGACGATTAATTCGGGCTGGAGAGAACCCAGAGGAAGGTGCTGTAGATTCTAACATCTGCATATATCTGTGTTACGCTTACTGCTTGTATGGACTATGTCTCATCTGCCTTTTGGTACGCAGCGTGAAACACACGGTATCGAAAATTCAGGCTCTGCTCAACGCACTCCCAGATAGCCAGGTTTGAAATTAAGACCTAGAGGGATTCTTCACTCGAGTGCTAGTGGGCACTAATTTAAGGCCGTGGGTGAGTCGAACTGCTTGAGTGAACTCTCGACTGAGACCTTCAAAGCCACAGGTGATAGTCGCTCATGTACCCATGCCGCCTATTCACCCTACATATCCTCTTGAACCTCTTATCGCTGTTATCGCAAAGCGAGAACATTGTCTACTTGTAAATCGTTTATGCCTTTACAGAATCCCGGATAGCCTGTAAGGTGTCCAAATAATGGATCTGCTGTAAGTAAGTATTCGATATTCGTGATCATACCGTCACTAGCATATGTTACATAGCACGGACGCGATGCTCAACACAGCTCCGCCAACCAATCCACTCTCAGGCTTCAGCCCGCTTTCTCTGTCGTTTGAGCGGTGTCGCCAATATTTATTACAGGTGTGTATAATACACTGTGCTTCGAATCTGGGGCCCCACACGTCTTGCGCATCTCAAGATCTCGCGATGCGCCCAAAAACACGCACGCACAGCGATCAGAAGTCGGAAGGGCCACAATTTCGTACGTGCGCACGCCGAAGCTGAAAATTAATGAATACAGCGAAGATCAGACTTCTTGCTCATATGCGTCCCAGTCATAGTCGTCCCCCTTCTCGCTGCCCTCGTCGTCGACATCCTCTTCGCCGGCAGCGTCTTCATCGCCCTCGCGCACGTCGCTTGCTTGTCCTGCGCTGCGGCCGCCCGGTGCTTTACTGGACGATGCACCCGTCGACCGTGCCCGCGTCGGTGCCATGCCGACACCGCCGCCGCCCTCCTCGATGATGACCATGCCCTCGCCGTCGCTTTTGTCGTCCATGATGTACAACCCGTCGTCGTCTTTGTCGTCGAATCCGGGGGTCGGGAGTCTCGCGCTGGCCCCGCCATCTACGAACAGGTTCTTGAGCGCGTCGTAGTTAATTCGCTTGCTGTACTTTGGGTTCTTCTTGATGAGATTGCGCACGGACTCGGCGACGGTGCTGCCACTCGGCGTGGACGCATCGCGAGGCTTGTTGCTGGTTTTGCGCCGCTGTTACAGTAGAGGTTTCCCGAGGGTCGCCCGTTACGTGAACATCAATAAGAACAAACAGAATGAGAAAAGTAAATGCCCTCGGCGGGTTACGAACCTTGCGCCCCCCCGATTTTTCTTTGTCCTCCGCGTGTTGCCGCTCCTCTCTCGCTGTGCAAGACCATTGAGCAACGGCGTGCATGAGGTTTCACGGCAACAAAGCCGGCCAGGAAACATACCTGCGATAGCCTCCAAGTAGTCCTTATTGAGTTCCACCCAGACACGCTCTTTGATTCTGACCTCTTCCTCGGTGAGAATAAACTGATCGAGCTCGTCCTCGTCCAGACCTAAGAGCTCATCGTCGCCTGTGAACTGCGCCCGCCGCCGCACCTCGGCCTCGTCCAGCGCTGCACTTAACTCCGCACCCTGCACGTTCGCAAGGAAGTCGGACACTTCCTCTGTAACCGCCGCGTTGACAGTCTCGTCCAGAGGCGACGGTGGTAGAGCAGAAGCAGAGAAAGTATCGTCTGGTAGTCCATCATGGGAAAGCTGAGAAGTTGACGCCACTGGCTGCGTTGACTGAAGGAGAATCGGGTCAATATGCGCCTCCATAGTGTCGCTGTCGTCTGGAAGAAACAGTGGAAGGTTGGTCGTCCCGGCCAGGATACCCTGATTGAGCAGCGTGGGGTCAATTGGGGGAGGCAGCACTGGTAGCGTTGCTTGAGTGTCATTAGCGTGGAAGTCATCCTGCGCCTCGACATGCGCCTCCGCCTCTTCCTCATCTTCCTCGTCCTCTCCCCGCTTCCTCTTGCGCTTCCTCCCCTTCGCCTTCGCCTTTCCTTTCCCCTTCCCCTTCTTTTCCGGCGCCGTGCCCCCATTTTCAATCTCCTCCCTGATGCGCTCCTCCCTCTCGCGACCCTTCGTATACGCGGGGGGATCCATCTCCTCGTCGAGCCACACGTTCCTAAAGTCGGCCAACGTGAGGGCGCCGCTCGGCGTGCGCCGGAACTCGTCGAGCCGCTTCTTGAGCGTCGTGTCCGCGATCTTGACGACCTGCACGATCTCCGCGACGCTGCGCCGGAAGTTGTTCATCCGCGCGGCCAGCAGCAGACACGCGCCGCAGATGCCCGCGGGGCGCCGCCCGCGCGTCATCCAGTCGCGGTCGAAGCGCGCCACGAGCCGCGTGGCGTCCAGCGCGACCTGGTGCGTCTCGTCGCCGAACTCGAGCAGCGCGGCGAAGCGGGAGACGTAGTGCGAGGGGTCGACGAGCGGGAGGCGCAGGTTGAGCGTCTGCACGAGCTGCAGATACGTGTGCCCGAGCTCGAACACGTTCACCTAGGCAGCCGTGCGCGTGCGCTGAGGACGTGGCGGGCGCGCGAGGGGACACACACGCACCTGAAGCATGTCGGAGAAGTCGATCAGCATGTAGTTGCGCGTCTCCTTCTGTCTGCACGCCACGTACAGGCAGACCGCGACGACGTTCATGCTCTTCCGGCCCTTGGTGAACTTGTGCTCGACCGCGAGGGTGTAGAGCCGTGTTGCTGAGAGACAGACGACCTCCGACAGGTGCATCGCATTGGCGACTTGCTGGATCTTTCTGCTAGCTGCAGGAATCGAAAAAATGGGAAACGAAGCAACGAATTAGAGTGATGTGCATCTCAGTACGAACAGCGAGGACATACCGTTGGCAATCGTCTGTTCTCGGCTCTCGCTGCTCCCTCTGTTGCCAAACGGACCGCCCATCCGCGCATGCGCTAGCGGCGGCGGAAGAGAAAAGTCAGCATATAAAAAGTGCCAGCATATAAGAGCCATGCGCACTAGCTCCCTGTCCCACAAAGCTGCCTTGCACCATAGCCGCGCCCGTGCTCGTCTCGCCGAATGCAACCTGGGGGGGCCAGCGGTCAGAGAAGGAGTAAAGTCGAGCATGGTCGGAAGGCGCACCTCGTTGACGATCGCGTTCTCCTCCACGACTGTGCCGCATTGCACGCAGAACCCGTTCCCCGCTGCGGCATCGTACTCGATCACGGTGCCCCCGCAGTCGGTGCAGACCGTCTTCAATCACATCCACTCAGTTCATAGCCCAAACAATCGCAGCAGAAGTAACGCACCATATCGCACCCAGCGCTCTATCTCCCCCTGCTGTAGTGGCTTTTCGGACGATGCGTACGGATAAATAAGAATCTGGAGGTTCTCCGCCATCGGTGGTGCTCGCATGAGAAGCCAAGGGACACACTCACAATTTCAGCTTGTCTACAGTCTCTCGGCGTGCACGTCTGCGCAGTCCTGGTCTATGTCACCGTGTTACCGTGTGCACTTGGGGTATCGATGCAGAACCGCGAAAGGAGCGGGCAGGATCCTAACTTAGGGTTTGAGGGGTCCAGCGCCCGGCCCGGCAACTGCCGAGTCGCTGGGGGGCGCTACTTAATATTATTGGCGCAGACGTAACCGAGGCTCTGAGAGCCTGTTCACTCAGAACACCGGCTGAAGAACGTCGTCGCACCGGTGGCAGTAGACTCTCCCAGGAACCCCTGCCTGGTCATAGACAATAGCATATATCCGGCGTCTCGGTGCTGGTCCTTATCCTCGCTCGACACGAGTCGCAAACGACGAATTATTTGTCGTCTTTTTCACTCCTGGACGACATGAACATTGCTGTAGTGTGTTGCCACACTGCCTCCCGGACATGTTTGCTGAGCTGTGAGCGTCTCTCCGATGACCGGTATCGAGGAAATGGGGGGGGGGGG